TTTGTGATGTCCAATCTCCCTTGATGTTTTCGACATGATTTTTATGAGATATTGGTGTCTGGTTACTATTCCAACCTTGTATAGTGGTCGAGGCTGTTGTTTTTTTTGCCCCATTTTGGCTTCTGGGTCATGAGTCCTTGGTTATGGTTGAGGATCTGTGGTGGGTTCGCTCTTTGTGCTACTTTGCTAGGTTTAGTCCTATTATTTGTTAATATCTGGTTGTGAATTGAATTTTTGAAGCCTCTAGTTCAGATTTGGGTGTTCTCTTAGTAATTTTTAAATTAGTTTGTGTGATTGCTAACCTTGGTGATTGGGTTGTTTTTGGTTTTATTTTGGTTTGACCTTGCATAATTAATTATGGGTTTCTCAATGGCAACTTTGAATGTTGGTAGTGATGGTGATGGTGGCAGTTGTGACCTACCCTATAAAGCCCATGGTGGTAGTTTATGCAAAGGACATAGTAGACATGATAGTCGTTCTAGTCANCCTATTTTTGAAAGTTCTTCAGGAAAAATGGGGCTTATTTATCGATCCTTCGGGAATTTTTAGATGTTTTTGTTGCTTCAATCCCAACCGGAGAGATGTGATTAGGTCCCAGTAAGTGGGATTTGTGATGTCCAATCTCCCTTGATGTTTTCGACATGATTTTTATGAGATATTGGTGTCTGGTTACTATTCCAACCTTGTATAGTGGTCGAGGCTGCTCGAGTGTGTTGTTTTTTTTGCCCCATTTTGGCTTCTGGGTCATGAGTCCTTGGTTATGGTTGAGGATCTGTGGTGGGTTCGCTCTTTGTGCTACTTTGCTAGGTTTAGTCCTATTATTTGTTAATATCTGGTTGTGAATTGAATTTTTGAAGCCTCTAGTTCAGATTTGGGTATTCTCTTAGTAATTTTTAAATTAGTTTGTGTGATTGCTAACCTTGGTGATTGGGTTGTTTTTGGTTTTATTTTGGTTTGACATTGCATAATTAATTATGGGTTTCTCAATGGCAACTTTGAATGTTGGTAGTGATGGTGATGGTGGCAGTTGTGACCTACCCTATAAAGCCCGTGGTGGTAGTTTATGCAAAGGACATAGTAGACGTGATAGTCGTTCTAGTTGNTGGTTATGGTTGAGGATCTGTGGTGGGTTCGCTCTTTGTGCTACTTTGCTAGGTTTAGTCCTATTATTTGTTAATATCTGGTTGTGAATTGAATTTTTGAAGCCTCTAGTTCAGATTTGGGTGTTCTCTTAGTAATTTTTAAATTAGTTTGTGTGATTGCTAACCTTGGTGATTGGGTTGTTTTTGGTTTTATTTTGGTTTGACCTTGCATAATTAATTATGGGTTTCTCAATGGCAACTTTGAATGTTGGTAGTGATGGTGATGGTGGCAGTTGTGACCTACCCTATAAAGCCCATGGTGGTAGTTTATGCAAAGGACATAGTAGACATGATAGTCGTTCTAGTCATGGTCATCATTCTGAACGAAAATATACTACTTGTCGTGGCATAGGATATATTAAGGATTATANTGACCTCCCCCCCGTCTTCTCTTTCTTTCCCTTCCCATCCTCTCCACCTCCTGCTTCATATAGTTAACTATTTTTCCTCTTCTCACCTAGTCGCTCCATAATCTTCTCTACAAACCTTGAACCAAGCACTCACCAATAAGGACTCGTCTTTTCTTACTAGCTACCCCGACAAAATCACACAACAACTAATTTATCATAGCCCCCTCCATTAATGATCATTTATTTCAAATAGGAAGAGCACTTTGTATGCTCTAAAGTTTTGATTACTCTATTCTGCAGAGATTTGGAGGACTATGTGAAAGGTATCACAAAACAATTCATACTCGCAGTGATGCGATATTTCATCATAAAGGCTATTGATAAAACTTCATTTAGCAAATGCCACAATCTGTAAACNTGACTGTACCCTCCACAAGTGAAACTGTGAAACAAATTAATTTTTTGGCATAGGGTTCAAGTGCAACAGCCTTCTTTAAGTCCTTAATGTTATTATCATTTTTAGTATTTGGGGGACTCTCGTTCACTTGGTGAGGTAGCGTGTTAGCTTCGTCCTTAACAAACATGGTATTCGAAAGAGTGATGATGATGTGACTACTAGCGAATCCTAAACCTCTCTTGTCACGAACACTTTTCCCTATTGACAACATCCTATCAATCTTTTTGGATGCTAGGGAAAGCCTTTTATCTATCTTAGCTATCTATTATCTTTGATCCTAACATTACAGGACACGTTATCAGATCCAAGTCAAAGGAAATCTATGGCAGTGGAGATAAATGCCTTAAATTATAATGTCACTTGGTATAACATGATGTACCTGGTAGTGAAAATCCTAATGGTTGTTGGTGGATAATGTGAAACTTGATCCTCATGGTTTAGTTGAACATCTGAAAGCCCAGTTTGCTACTGATGGGTCTACGTAGGCAGTTAGGCCTATGATAATAATTATGAGAGGATGCTTTATCCTATTGTTAAGATTTTGTATATTCATGTATTGATTTCCATGGCTTCTAAGCTTGAATGGTCTTTTGTTCAATTGTATGTTAAAAATCTTCTTTTGCATGGTGACTTGATTAAGGAAGTTTACATAGAACAATTATTAAGAATACCTATATTTCTAAAGTAGACACCGAGAGTATGGTTGGTAAGCTTTTAATGAAAATTTTGGAGTTTGTGAATCTGTATTCGAATGACAAATGAATATAGTTTACATCATGCTTGTTACACACGAGGGTGGCATTGTGCTTTAACTGGGAGGGTGGCATTGTGCTTTAACTGGGATGAATCTAAGGAAATTGTGAAGTGAAAAATTTTTCCACAACACTTATTTCATACTTAAAACTTACACAAACTCGGGTACATTGTGGGTATTGAAGTTGTTAGGTCTGAATTGGATAGTAACTTGTCTCAAAGGAAATATATATCTATAATATAAAATCGGGCTGGCTTCAATAAGTCCGGTCTCATATAAACTCATCCAATGGCCACCGACATCCCTCTCAAAATCTTTCACATTNATTGGATAGTAACTTGTCTCAAAGGAAATATATATCTATAATATAAAATCGGGCTGGTTTCAATAAGTCTGGTCTCATATAAACTCATCCAATGGCCACCGACATCCCTCTCAAAATTTTTAACATTATACTGTATTTTCAGGCACGAGCACACACCCACACCCACACCCACACACACACACACACACACACACATATATATATAGTTCTTGCTTTCTCTTACAAAATTTGTGGATTGGGCGCATGTTAGCCATGCGCCAGCTCCATATTTTAATTAATTTTTTTTCAATTATTAATGAGTGATTCATAAAAAGTGAATTTTATTCAACATAGAAAGTTTATTGCTAAATACTATGCTTTATATCGTAAATATTATTCTTATTTAAAAACAAGATAATTTTTTTTGGTAAATTATTGTTTGTAACAATAATTAAATTATTGAAACCCAATTCTCGATTTGCCCATTAAAAAGACATTCCAAGTCAAATAAATAAGCCAAATTTAAATTTATTTTTTAGCCAGTAAATTTGTTAGTCAATTTCATACACTAACTAAGCTAAATAAGTTATTTGAGATAGAAGAAAACTAGAAACCACCAATACTGTTAATTTTCAATTGTCTTCGGTTATACTTGATATTCTAGATGCAATAAGTTTACTAAATGATAGACCAACTAATGTTCGTATGGACTTGAATTAAAAACTTTTGGTGGATGATAATGCACTACTTGAAAATTCAGGTTAGTCTCACAGGTTGCTTGGAAAGTTAAATTATCTCATTATAAGTTGTCCAAATATATGTGGTAAGTGTTGTCAGTGCGTTTATGAGCATACCTAGAGTACCACATTAGGATGTTGCTATTCGCATCCTCCAGTACCTTAATCAAGCTCTTAGGCTTAGAATTGTTGCATCAATCTAGTGGATATCTTGTTTCACGACTATTGATTGGCCTAGGTATTCCTCAGAACAAAGATCAACTATTGGATATTCTACTTATATTTTTTAAGGGGGGAGAGGAAGGAGAGGGGCCTTAATTTGTTTTCATCAAAGAGCACGAAGATGAGAGGTGAGAGATACACTCATGGAGATCAACAAGGGATTGAATAAGCTTAAATTGAAGAATTTAAATTTATTATTTAGTTTAATATTATTATATTATATTATATGAATCACGGAATATTTGTTTGGTTATGATTGTCTTAGTAATTGAGTAGCAAGATTTTGATTAGGAAATTATTATTGAGTTTTAATAGGACAGTAATTTGAGAATTTGATTATAAAACTTTCAGAATTTTAGTAGGAGAACAATTTTTGTTTTAGTAAGAGATTTGGCATATAAATATTAATGTATCCCTACTATTTTCATTAGAGATTATGAATATGAATTGATTATTCTCCGCACAAAATTGTGTTTCTTGATCTAATCGTTGCAAGGATTTGGTGACCTCCCCCCCGTCTTCTCTTTCTTTCCCTTCCCATCCTCTCCACCTCCTGCTTCATATAGTTAACTATTTTTCCTCTTCTCACCTAGTCGCTCCATAATCTTCTCTACAAACCTTGAACCAAGCACTCACCAATAAGGACTCGTCTTTTCTTACTAGCTACCCCGACAAAATCACACAACAACTAATTTATCATAGCCCCCTCCATTAATGATCATTTATTTCAAATAGGAAGAGCACTTTGTATGCTCTAAAGTTTTGATTACTCTATTCTGCAGAGGTTTGGAGGACTATGTGAAAGGTATCACAAAACAATTCATACTCGCAGTGATGCGATATTTCATCCTAAAGGCTATTGATAAAACTTCATTTAGCAAATGCCACAATCTGTAAACTTGTACCACCCTAATATTATTGAAATCAATTCATCACATATAAATGGCAACAAGAACCACGATGCTGGTGGTGAGTGACGACGATAAAACTGGGGAGAGCTTTAGAGAGGAGGAAATATTAGATAGACCAAGAACTTACTGCATTTTGGCCGTTTTATCAGGATCACCACTAGATGGGAACTTTTCAAGCTCAACATCCATGTTCTCTTCTTCCTCCTCGTCATCGTCCTCTTTGGTCTTGTTGGCTGGGGCAGTGGTCCCGACAGCAATTGAAGCAATTGTGGATGTTAAACGATTTGCAGAACGAATACTATTGTTGACATCATCATCTCCTTGAACATTAACAGGTAGTTGCACAGCCTGATTTTCAGTCTCCAATTCATCTGGGGAATCAGGCGGTGATTCATCTTGCTCCTCAAATGCGACTTCGAAAGGATCCTTGGATTGCTTCATTGTTTTCTCTGTTTTCTAAACAAGATTGCCAATAATCAAACCAAGTTTGTCCAAATTGCACCCAGCATGAGACATAGAGATGTAAGAATCCAAATCACGAAAAAAAATCTTCAATATTTTTCTTTTCAGTATGGCTAAGAGTTTGTACATCACACAAGAATGCGAAACCAAGATCTCAAAACACCCCTTCGCTTCCCCCTCAAACTCCCCATCCCACCCTAAACAAAGTGATTATGTAGCTTAAGTTAGGTCTCTCAAATTGTGTAGCTAAAGACATCCAAACTTAGGTCATTTTGATAAGACTCCTTTACCTAACTAAAGTCAGGCGAGCCAATGTAAGTCTGCTTGAGAAACTCCAGGGCCTAAGAAAATTTACACAATAAAAAACCAAAGGTTACAAATTTGTTTTTTGCCTGACAATTAGATCGCTAGAATTTTTGTGCCGAATGAAACACATAAATGCATCAGACATCATTTTCTCACATAGCAAAACCCATTTATGGATACTAGTTGAAACTTGCTCAAAATTTTACAGAGTAGTCACATTTAGAGTACTTGGTCTGCATTGGTCATGGTTCAAGGTCGTAGTATCAATCATCAATTCAGAGGGCACCGAGACACATCAATCGCTTCGTTGCGGCACGGTATTAGCCAATGCACTCAAAACGTAAATAAAAGGCCCAAACAAAATCTGAAAAAAAATCATGAAAAATTCTAAAAAAACGTAAATATCATCATTCATGAATCAAATCCCCAAAATATGGTATTTAACATGTTAAACATAGTGAAAATGAATTATAAGGGCATTATCGAAAATATTTATCATCATCTATGTTGAATGTAAGTATTTAAGGACACACCAAGCTTTAAACATATGTTACTAGAATTCTTTTAAACATACTAGTACCTAATTTTAAACAAATTTTAAAATAAAACAAGAACAAAAAATATGTATTCATCAATTAAAAATTTGATAAATACTAGTAGATCACAATAGTACTACATTACATGAACATTTTATCAATGTATATATGGTTTAATTTAGCTTTTAATACTAGAAATTGATGCAAGAATACAAAAAACATTTTTTCCATTTAATGTATATGCAATCATAACATGTGTGATTATTTTACGTTCAATTACATATACAAAACAAAGTTTAATAGAATTATTAATTTAATGAGTTTATGTCCTAATTTGATTTTCTGTTATCTTCTAAATATTATTTATTTCTATTATTTACTTCATAATAAGGAGTAAGGACCAGTAGGCAAACACATGTAAAGACCAAAAGAAAAAAAAGGGTGTGGGTCTTTGTTTACTTGGGCCTTGGGCTACAGAGGGAGGGGGAGGGGGAGGGAGAGAGACTGACAGAGGGAGAGGGCGAGGGAGAAAGACTAACAGAGAAAGGGTCAAAGAACGAGAGAGAGACAGAGAGAGAGAGCAAACTGAGAGATCTGCGAAGTCTGCAACTCTACAATTGAAATTTTTTTTATCTATAAGCCTAGGGTTTCTACAAGCTTTCATCTGCAATGGGACTTCGCAAGAAAGGAGGAGGAGGAAGAGGAAGGGCTCTCTATCAAGGTGATTCTTCAATTTTGTGGGTCTTCTTGTACTTTATCTCATCTTTTTTTGGAATTTTCGCAATTGTTTGAGGTACGGGTAAACTATTTGGTGCGAATCGATTCGACTCGGATGTAAATTGGCCAATTCGAACGAGTTGGACCAAGTTGTATCGAGTCGGACTGATACCTAATAGAATGGTGTTTTTTTGGTATCGTGTATCGGTATCGGTGCTAACGGAGGCGGATACAACCCAGCTGGGACTCGGCTGATAGTTTGAACAATGGCATCAATCAAATTAATATCAACAATAGAGTGCGCCCATTTATTTGTTAAACAATCCAGAAAATATTTTTGAAACAAAAATTTGTCCATTTACAAATTACAATCATCTTTGCGATTTCATAATAAACACATGTAAGTCACAAGGCTCTGTGCTCCCCATTTCACTGAGCTTTGATTGTGCATAGTGTGGACCTAAGAAGCACGAATACAGACACGGGTGTTGTATCCAATACGATACGGATACGGCCATATGACAAAATTCCAAAATATTGGACACGGTTATGGGGAGAATTTGGCTAATTAAAATAATTATATATATTTATATATATATAACAACAACATTAATAATAACAAACAACCAGCAGGCAGCAGCACACTAGCAAGCAATTTTCGGTATTCAAAACCAGCAGGCTGTTACTAGCACAGAAGGCAGCAGCACAGATGACAAAAAAAAAAAAAAGAAAACCAGCAACACAGCAGACCCAAAAAAAAAAAACCCGAAGGCAGCAACATAGCACAGAAAGCGGCAGCACAGATGACCAAAAAAAAAACAGCAGCACAGAAGGCAGCAACATAGCACAGATGACCAAAAAAAACCAGTACAATAACAACAACAAAAAACCCCCAAAATTTGAAAACCCTAACCCAATCAAATTTTTTGAAAGTCCACACAGACCGGAAGAAGTAACAAAAAAAAGATCTAAAAATCGTAACAAAAAAGAAGGGTAGCAGTAGCAAATCTGAAAAAAAAAAAAAATTTGAAGCAACAAGAGGAACCTGTAGGAGACTGGGCAGGAAATCGCAGTCGCAGCTTAGTCTTCCTCTTCCCTCCCTTTCTTCTCCTCCTCCTCTGCTCCTTTCTTTCTCCTCTGCTCTTCTCTCTCTCTCTCGATCTGTCGAACACACTGAAATGTCGAAGGCTGGCCTTCGACCTTGCCTTTTGCCTTTTCTTACGCTTAGAATTTTTGGTCATTTAATCACTTAATTTCCTTATTTAAAATATTATATACACAACCCTAAAATTTTTATTGATGTAACTCTTACATCCTACTATAAATATATTTATTAATAAATTATATTTAAATCTCCTTAAATTTATAAGTACATAATATTTAGATTTCTTAAATTTAAAATATTATATTTAGACAAAAAATACTTCAATCAAAGATAAAATATCAAATATTTTAAACTTTATGACCAAAATTCATATTCTATTGTATCATTTATTGAAATAAAATTAAAAATAAAAATTTAATTTTTTCTTAAAAAATAGTAATTAATATACAATTATACTATCTATTGGAATAAGACTAATAAATTAAATAAAAGGTCTAAGTCATTCATAATAGAATATGAATTTTACATCCAAAATTTATGTTCTATTATGCCATTTATTGAAATAAAATCAAAAATAAAAATCTAGTTTTAAAAAAAAAATCATAGTTAGTATATAATTATACTATTTATTAGAATAAAACTAAAAAATTAAATAAGGAATTAGGTTTAATTGGGATAGTTTGGTATTTTAATTTGATCTTTTAAACGACTAAATTAAATTCCAATATATAATATAATTGTATACTAATTACAATTTTTTAAGAAAAAATTGAAATTTTATTTTTGATTTTTTTTCAAGAAATGATCCAATAGAAAATGAATTTTAATTATAAAATTTAAAATATTTGATATTTTATCTTTGATTAAAATATTTATGGTTTAAGTATAATATTTTAAATTTAAGGGATATGTATAATAATATTTATAAACTTTAGAGTATTTAAGTATAATTTATTAACAAATATTTGTACAATGGGGTCTAACTATTAGACGCGCATAAATTTTAGGGGTTCATGTATAATATTTTCTAACAAGGAGCGTAAGTATAATTCTCTCTTTTTTTTCAAGCCCAGCTTTGCCCCTTTTTTTTTCGCTTCAGCCCCTAAATTTTTAAAATAACAAAAGAACCCCCTATATCAAGCCATGTCCCTCCCGTGTCTTGCCGAGGACATATACATTCATAACCAATCAGAGAATTTAGCATATTACGTGAAATTTTCAAGGGAATATTAGGAGAGAGAAAAGATCTTCTAAACTGAATGGTTTTTCTAAATGACATATTTATCTTTGCCTCATAAAAAAATGTGACATTTTGATGATATTGTATGTCTCGTCATATTCCAAGATTGCTGATAGTTTACTCTAAAGTGGCCACCCAAAAAGAACATAGATCCTAAGTGCAACAAGACCCAAGAAACACATTCCGCTAATAGGGACAGTTTAGCATAACAATGAATCACATAGTTATCAAAAGCATTTGATACAGACACAAAACGATTCATATTTTATATAAGAATCATTTTTAGAGTTGAATCGTACCTAAATCGTATGATTCAATTTGTATCGCACGATTCACTCACTTTTTTAAAAAATTCAGATTTTTGGCAAAACGATGTTATTTTGTCTGTTAAACAATAAAACGAAATCGTTTTATTTGCAAAGGAACCTGCGGCCTAATAAAAACTTTGCCTCTTTACTCGTTCTCTCACTATCTCCCACGTCGTCTAAAGCTCTCATCGCTTTGTCTAAAGGTTGAAGGTGTGCCTCCTACACCTCTACTTCTTTTTCTTCTTAACAGTAAGCAAGTCCTAGCATGCTCTTTTTCTTCTATTTTTTACATTGGATTTTTCTATCACCTATCACCGTATTTTAGAATAATGTTTGTAACCTAATTTATACTGTGTACCACTGTTTTGGTTCTTGAATAACCATGGTTCTTTAATAATTTTTTTTTTCAAGTTGTTGAATTTGAAAATGGTTAAGTAAAAGATGAAAATAAAATAAAAGAATAGAGTTTTTCTATTTAGACGATGTGATTATGTCAATTGATTATTTTTAAAAAAATATTCAATATTCAATATCTTGCCTATTTTAAATATGTAGATTTTTTTTTTGTTCAAATTTTGTATTGAATCTACGATTCAAGATTCGATAAAATTCACGATTCTCAAATTTAGAATTTCAATTCACGATGCAAATCACAATTTGAAAACTTTGGTGAACCATATTCTTGGAAAAAATTTTAGGTGAAAGCAATTTATTTGCATGATGTAAGTAATATTCCATTGTAATAAGTGGGTGTATATGTGGTACAATGTTTGTTTCCATAAGAAACAAAAATATGTGGCAAGATGTAAACAACTTATCAATGATAAAAATACAATGTTGAGGAGACTTAAAATTATCGTAAGCCCTTTGATGCTTTTAATATGTCTTCCTTTTACACTACAAGATCTTGCTCTTAGCCCTTTGAGATTCATTACGCAGTGAGTGTTTCCCGAACCAAGCCACGTGCTTCTTGATTGCTACATCTATAATGAGATTGATCCTTCCTTTATCCTTCAAATGCTAAAAATTGACACCAATCAATTTCTCAACAAATGATCTCTTTCTACCAAATGACTGTGTAAGGGAACATAAAACGTTTCTTAGCAAACAAAGATAAACATCCTTCACTCTCTTTCTTTCTTTGCGTATGCTATGTGTGCGTGCGTGTTGCTCTCAACTTCAATCATTGAAAGTTAATGATGAACACCATCCCACAATCAAATTGAAAGTCCTACTCAAAAAATCTCAACTTTTGAAACTTACAATTCTATGGAATTGCACTGAAAAGTCAAAAAATTAAAAACTCTAGGTTATTCAAATGCAAATAAATCAAATCTCAAACCTTAATTAAACAGATCACCCAACACTCGATCAATGCAAACCCTAATGGTGTAAATTGTACTTAGATCTGCGACAAAGATGGTGATTTGCTAGAGTGATATGGAGCAGTGGGGTCATGGATGGCTATGGGGTGGTGACGATGCTATCATTGGTCACTGGTGGCGTCATTGGTGGTGTGGGTCACTGGTTAAGGAAGGGTTTTTGGGGGTGAAAAAGGGTTTATGTGTGCATGAGTATGTGTGTGTGAGAGAGCGGAGGAGAGAGATGGAGAGAGAGCTAGAGGTGAGAAGAGAGAGGGTTTGGTGTATGTGTGTTGTGTTATGTACTCTATGTGGGTCGGTGTTTGTGTGTGTGTGCACAATTTGTGTGTTTGTGTGTGTGCGATTTGTGTGTCTGTGTGTGTGAGTGTGTCGTGTTACAAATAAAGGGAAACAGTGTGTTGTGTTGTAGAGAAGAGAAAAAGGAGAAAAGAAAGAAGAGGTTTGTGATGGCAAGTTGGAAGAGATGTTTTGGGGGATGAAGGTATGTAGTTGGAGTGGTGTGGGGACCGTGGGATGGTGGGGAGGGAGAGGAGCAAAGAAAGAGAGAAAGAGAGAGAGTTGCATTGAGAGAGAGTGGTGATGGCAGCGGTGGCGGCGGCGGTGGATCTGGTGTTGGTGACGTTGGTTGATGGCCAACTTGAGGGAGGAAAGAGAGGGGGGTCATGAATCTGTAGAGAGATGTAGAAGTGAGGTGAGTCCCCGGGGGTGGGGCAAGGAAAATATCATTAGATTTTGTTTGTTGTGGTGGTTTTCTTATGACGTGCTATCACCACTGCAACAAATTAGTCGTCCATTGTGAAAATAAACTTTATACTTGAGCTATACAATGCTTTTCTTCAATCAGTTTACACAGAATTTGAGCTTCACATAAAAGTAGGAAGTATTCAATTTAATATTGTACGTCAACTGCACATAATTCTCAACAATTCGACATCTAGTGGTTAGGCTGCCTCATTTAATCTATAGTTTTATACTACTATAAATATAATATCTATATAATAAAGTAGTTAGATTGTTTGTTTTGAACTTTTCGTGGTCCAGATCATTTTGATCCGATGGTCCTAATTAAATTTTCATTCGTTTTACAACTTTAAAACCCCCACCTCTCATATAACACTATTTATCTTTCTATCTATCTCATTATCTCTCTCTCATATTATCTTTTTTTTCTCCTTAGTTGTTTTTGATATTATTTACTCCATAAAATAGATGAAATTATATGTTATGTAATTATTTATTCCATGAAACTAATTCAAAATTTTTATATATTTGACGGCATATATTTTGCTACTTGCTTCTTAATTTTTAAATAACACTTAATGTAAATAAAAAATAGCACATTAACTATAAACACCAAATAATATTCAACATGAAATTAACCTTAGATGGTAAATTAATATATAATTTTATCAAAAATTGACATTTAATTTTGTCAAATTTATATTCAACTTTGTCGAATTAATATCAAATTATTTTTTATTGTTATCAAATTAATATTGAAATACATTTAATCAATTTTTTTGAGTACTTTATATCAATTTTTTTTAGTACTAAATCAAATTTTATTTGATTTATTAAATTTTTAATTTTTTTGATACCAAATTTAGAGAAGTACAATTGTAAAAATAATAAAGTTTTTTGGGATAAGATTATTAATTTTCGTTAGCAATATTGACAGAAGGCAGATATAGAGAATCCTCGTGCAATGAATTTTAAACCTCAGGAGGTCTCCATATTATTTATAAAATGTCAGGAGATGTCCGTGTAATATTGTCAAAACTCAGGGGATGTGTTGTGATTTTATTATTATTTTATCTTAAAAACTTGAGTTATTATATTTCTAATAAAAGCAGTTATTGGTTATAAGGGTTTGTTGGTAACCAAAAAAGAAATGTGTATGAGTGTATTTCTGTGTATATTTATATGTGGAGGATTAGACATTTGGTGATTAAATTTATAATTATATTGTATCATTTGGGGTTGAATGGTAATAGTGGTGATAAATTAATGAGTTTGATAAATGAGCAAGATTTGATTGATTTTATTTATCGCTTAAAAATTATGAATTTAATTGTGTTGTGTTAGCTAATTTTTTTTTTTTACTTGAGATATTTATTACATGGGGATATAGTGGATTAGAAATATGGAGGTTGAGTTTATAATTATATTG